TCTTGCACAGCCGATATTACAGGATTAGCTGAAGATTTAATTTAAAGGTTTTATAGATGCCAAAAAGTTTGGGAATACGCATATAAAACAGCAGAACTTTATATGGAGCTATATAACTGGTACTACAGGAGACCTTCAGTACACAAAATACTTATTCACGGTGAAAGCATCACACAATATGCTGTATTAGCAATAGGACAACTTTCGGAAGATGCACAAGAAGCTAGAAATAAAGATTACAAAAAATAATGATTACATAACGCTCGGAAATGTTCAAGGATTGCCACCAATCAAGATGTTTTCAATACATTACAATACACCTCTGATCCTTATATATCATCAATTGCATATGTTGTAGAAAAAAAGCAAATTAGATTTAGATTCAGTGATTACGTGTAGTTTAACAAAAAAACAAGCATTATTTTTAATAAATCTATATTTAAATATCATCTGTGTCTTATTTTAGAAGAAAGAATTGTGACTAACTTATGATTTTTCTGCAAAGTATACATAAAATTCTAGGATAATGATTATACTGTTTATATTATTTATTGGAATTTGTGAGTTGCTTGCTATTAGGCGAATAGGACAACATCTTAACTAACACTTTTAAATAGGGTAATTTTTAAATAAAAGCAGAAGGGAGTAGTTTACCCCATGCAACCCTCTGGCACATGTATGATACATCAATGGATTCGACAACAAAAAATTATTTAAAGAGTCGCATGATGGGGAAAAATTTGTATTCTCTTTGTTGGACTCCAATACAATTTAAAGAAAAATAAATTGCTTGCTTCGTCACATTTTCCCAAGAACGACTGGCAAAAATTCATGCGCCGTTCAAAATCTCCTGGTCTGAGATAATTTGAGACTTTGCTAGTTCTGTATGGATCAAATCTGAATATTTTCAAAATACACCTAACTTTGGTTCTTCTAATTCCCCGTCTTCATTCGGTGTATAAGTTTTTGATCTTTTCTTTTCGAATTGACCGCTAGTTTGTAGAATATATCATAATCTTCTAAAAATATCATTAAAAGGTTGCATTCTCCCCAGATTGTATAAAACAAACTATCATGATTTTAAATTCAAACAATGTTATGGGAGCACTAAAAGCAAAGAAAGAATAACAGCAGTTTTATGCTACAATGCTGAGGGAGTGAAAAATTAAAACTATGGACAGTAGGAAAATCATAAAACCCAAGATGTTTAAATAAATTCGATCGTTCCCATTTGCCATGCCATTATATCGCTCAGAAAAATACCTGGGTAACTTCTGTAGCATTTCGAGAATGGCTTCTTCGTTTTCAACGCAACATGGCAGCTCTAAACAGAAAAGTGTTGTTAACAATGGACAATTGTTCAGCACATAACGTTATGGGAATTGATTTGCGCAATGTTAAGGTCGTTTATTTTCCGGCTAACACAACAAGTGTACTGCAACCTCTTGATCAAAGCATAATTGCGGCTATGAAGAAACGATATCGTGCACGACTTGTTAGAGTAGCAGACTTGTCAGATTCGTGGTGTAGCTCGTTAGAAGCTTTTTACTTATATGCTTTACTCATTGATAGGCTGAATTTGCTGATGTAGAATGGGACAATTATCTACAAATCTTGTCAGTTCAACTGATACAGGTTAGTTTTAATGATTACGTCAGCGTTGATGGTGCGATAACGACTACAGAAGCAGTAGACATAGACTTAGTGAATGTAGACCAAGAAACTGAAGAAAAAGAAGAAGGCGAAAAACACAATGAAGAAGAAGTTAATATAATAGCAACTTCAAGAGCTGAAGTTTTACCCGTTCTCTATACAATCCAAAGATAACATAAATATTATTAGTTATCCAAAGATGTAATTATTAACATCACAATTTCAAGATTTGTTGATTCAGAAGGGAATGTTTCTAAAAATTTCATGGATTCTTTGAATAATATGACAGAGTAAAATGATGCCTAAGACGAACAATGCCCATTCAGAGGCAAAAAATAAGTGATTATTTTCAAAAAAAAATGTTTATTATGATATGTTTACGTAAACCTACCCCTAAAGCCTACCCATTATCATTCATTATAACGAATTAGTTCGTTATATCGCAAATACGAACATCTCATTATAACGAACGGTTTGCTTACCTCCCTGCGTGTTCGTTATATGGAGGGTTTACTGTAGTCCTATTTATACTTTTTCATTTATCATTAAATTTTCGGTGTACAGTTTCATACCGAGTCTCACGGTTCATTCATCTTATCATATTAGTTTCTTAAATGCTATCGGGATGCAGATGCATAAGTCCTCCCTCCTTCAGTTCGAAATTCTCCGAACGAGTCTTGATTTTATTATAAACATTCTTAATTCTATAATTCTTGTATTTATCGATTACAAACTTACATACTATTAGTAACATTATCAAAACTATTATGTGAAGAAGTATGTTATGGATCATACTTCAAAAGTCGGCAGATCACAGCCAGTCTGGGAGGCGAGTCGCTGACTATAAAGGCGCTAAGAGGATGTCCCCAAGGGGGAGTGCTATCACCTCTATTATGGTGTCTGGTAGTTGATGACTTGATGAACACCCTAACTAAAAACGGATTTAAGATACAAGGGTATGCTGATGACCTGGTAATCATAATCCGAGGTAAATATGATTCAATCATAACTCAGCTAATGCAAAAAGCCCTACAACTCACCAGTACTTGGTGCAGAAGCAATGGGCTCAGCATCAATCCCAATAAAATCGAAATAGTCCCTTTCACTCGGAGAAGGAAGCTACAAATAAAAGCACCCTCCATTGAAAGCAGAACTATTAACCTCAAAACAGAAACTAAATACCTAGGGACAGTAAACTAAACTGGAACTCACACTTAGATAAGGTGAGGAAAAAGGCCATCATGGCAAACCCGATCTACCGCAGGCTCCTAGGAAGGAACTGGGGCCTCAAACCACGAATGGCTCATCAAGCATACGTAGCAATAATCAGACCCATGGTCGCCTACGCCTCATTGGTTTGGTGGCCAAAAACAAAACATAAGACAGCACAACAACAGCTGGCACAAATCCAGCGGTTAGCATGTCTTAACATAACGGGTGCAATGAAATCCTGTCCGACGGCTGCTTTGGAAGCCCTACTCGGTCTCACACCGCTCCACTTATATATACAAAAGGAGGCAGCCTTAAGTGCCTTATCACTGAAAACAGTTTCTTCACTGAAGTTGATGCAGGGTAACCTCAAAGGACACCTCGAGATCCTCAAGGACCCATGTCTAAATCACCTGATTGAAATTAAAACGGACCTCATACTGACGGAATACAATTTCAACCAACCGTATAAGGTCATATTTAGTAGCAGGGATGATTGGGCGAAGGGAGAGCCCCAACTAAAAAGAGGAGCCCTAGCCTGGTACACCGATGCTTCAAAGACAGTAAGATCTGGAGTAGGCATGGGCATCAGTGGACCAAATAGCCACATCAAATTGTCCCTCAGCTCGGACTTAACAATTTTCCAAGCAGAAGTTCTTGCTATAAACTTCTGCACCGCTTTGAACCTACAGAAGGGACAAAAAGGTGCATCCATAAACATTTTCACAGACAGTCGGGCCGCCTTAAAGGCAATTCAGGCCTACACGTGTGACTCCGCACTGATCAGAGAGTGTACCAACAACCTGAGAGAACTCGCTAGGGGCAATGATGTTACCCTATGGTGGGTTCCAAGTCACAGCAACATTGAGGGCAATGAGAAGGCCGACAAGCTGGCCAAAGAGGCAGCAAACACGTCCTTCATTGGACCCCAACCTGGATGTGGACTACAAAAAAGCCACCTAAAACAAATAATCAACAACTGGGAGGTTTCAAAGATAGCCTTACGCTGGAAAGAACTTCCAGGTCACAGACAAGCGAAGCGTATGATAACTCCGTCCTAAAACAAAACCAAAGAGGTTTTATGCCTCAGCAAAGGGGATCTAAGAACGCTCTCAGGCTACCTGACCGGCCATGCGCCCCTAAAATACCACCTCTTCCACATTGGACAAGCTGAGGATCAAACTTGTCGACTATGCAACGACGAGTCAGAAACTGCTGAACAGGTACTGCAGTTCTGTGCAATTGCGTCGCCAGAGGCCGTCTAAGACACAACATCTTCGATAAAACTCCCCTGTTACCTACCCACATAAAGGTTCAAGACCTCAGGACAATACTAAGGTTCATTAAGGACCTACATTTGCCCTAAACCTTTGGAGGGCTAAAGTTACAATAGATGTTATTGGTCGCGGTAACGAGAGGGGCCGCTCTCCTCAGCCCGGCAGCAATAATAATAATAATAATGTTATGGATCAAATTAGTTCTCTCAATATGTGGAAGTTTCAATATTTTAGAATGAGTTGTGTTAGAAATATTCTGTAGCAGGAGAGGAATGGGGTTGGGTTGGGTCTAAATTGACAATTTTAAAATAATGTTATATTATTAATTTTGTAATGGCAATTATTAACATTATTCAATTTTTAACACTAAACTGTTTTATCAAATTGCACAACTTGATTATAATAAAGATATTCATTTAATCGTAAATTATCACATTCATCATTCATTAAAATATAGTTGTTATCATTGGCGGCAATATACAGTGATTGTGGTTGTATTTGAATGAAAGTATTATTGACAAAAGTTGGCAACGAGTACAATTTATAATATTGGTATTCTTTATTATCTATTATAGGCAGTCGAAGTATTATTTCTCATCTTGGATTTTTAGGGATTTTATGATCTAAATAATATACACTAAATATTTTTTTTTTTTATTAACCTTCCACAATTTCTTATTTCAGTTTGATTATTTTACAGACAAATTGAACATAAATAATATTTAAATAAATTATAATATCACCGGTTTTTATATGCAGTTCTCCTTGAAATCTTTTTTAACTATTTTTTAAAATGTGGTAACCTTAAATAAGTGGCACGAAGTCATCAATGGTAATTAAAACGTCGGTAACAAATTTTTTGTGACATACAATTTCCTTTACATCTGATATTATCATCAGTAATTTAAACCTTCCGCTATGGAAAGAATCTCAATAGGTTTTTACGTTCCCCTTTTAATTCATCATGGAACGGCAAATATTGTCGTTGGATATAATCATTTAACATCAACGTCCAACAATACCCAATTAAAATTGGTTGCGCAATTTGGATTTAGATATTTAACAATATGGAATATGGTAAGAAAAATGTATTTTATATAAAGCTATCTTTTTAACTTAATAAATTATTTAATTTTAGATTTTACAAACATGTTATTTAAGTACGGTTGTAATTTGTTATGTCTTAGCGAGAATCGATTATAAACAATGTAAAAGTTACGCGAAAAAATTGGAGATTATTTTGAAATTCGTTAACGTTTCCATCGTATCTCCTATTTCTATTTATATAGTTTTATTATTTTGGTCTGTTTTCACCGCAAATAGGGAGTTAATTTACCCAATTATAATTGAAGATATTGTACCGGCATGGGGAAATTATTCAATGCATGCTGTTATTATCATCTTACCGTTAATTGAAGTGTTTTTACAAAGAAGTATTCGCATGCCGATTTTTAAACATTCCATTTTGGCGTTAACATTATTTTTAACAATTTATGGAACTACGTAAGTTGATTATTTTTTTTTAATGATTAAATAAAATTTCCATAAAAATAAGTTTATCTTAACATTATTTATTTTTAGGCTTTTATGTACATTTTATTTCAACGAAATCTGGTTGTATCCATTTTTGAAGTTTATGCCATGGGCAAGTCGGATTTATATGATATTTGTAAGTTATATCGTTTGCGTTTCTTTGTTAACGTTAACTTCTTTTGTTCATAAATCGGTTTTTAGTAGAAATAAATTTAGAGATTAAGAAAATTATTTGTCATTGAAAATTGAATTTATCAATAAAACGTTAAGTAATATTTTATATTTTTTATAAATATATATTTCTGTTTTCCATCTATTTTTGCAAGCTTGTCTGATTGCCGTAGTTAGTTGAAAGATTAACTAGCTGACCGGAAGTCGGACAAACTGGACAACAACATTATCTTTAGCCACTAGAGCACTCCACATCGGTTATCCTTATGATTTCCATAAGACTTGTGACTCAACTATGTATATCCAAGTACACCGAGACTAATTTCTAAAGTTAGTAACAATGCTGTTTTTTTTTCACATTTTCATCTGCCTCATAATAGACATAAAGAAGCTTTGTCTTCACCGTTTTCATGTCACAGTTTTGGACACGGATCCGAAGTATGCCAGGGTAAAGTAGTACACTTGAAATCTGCAAATCACTGTCTATTATCATTTTGTCTTAAATATGCTCTAAATACTTTTAGTTTAAGGCAGATTGTTAACCAGTCAACTCGTATCACCAATTTTTCTGAAACACTCATTGATGTTATTATTTTATCAAATGAGTTGCCTCTTCGTGTTTGTGACACTGTCGATGTTGGGTTCTCGGATCACCTGTTAGTTTTTTGTGATTTAGCGATATCACTGAGTACTAAGTCTAAGACTAGAGTTATTAGTTTTCGTGATCTCCGTGGTATTGACGTTCGTGCCTTTAATGAGGATCTGTAATTGATGAATTGGGAGGCTGTCCTTGATCTTAATACAATTGCTGACAAACTGAATTGCTTTAATGATACTATGTTATCCTTATTTGATTTTCATGCGCCTGTGATTACTAAGGTAATCAGAAAACGTGCTTTGCCATGGATCACTTGGAATGTCAGGCAAATGATTAAACTAAGGAATGAGGCATTTGCTAAGTATAAAAGGATTAGGAGTCAGCAGAGTTTTCAATATTATAAGACTCTACGAAATTACGTCACGGATGCTATTTGCCGGGAAAAAAAGACATTCTTTGAAAAAAAATTAATCGTCGGTGACTCTAAGTGTTTGTGGAAAAACCTAAGAAGGTTTAACATGTTGAAATCTTCTGCTATTTCGTTGCCTTCTCATTTGTCATATCCTAATGTTATCAATACGTTCTTTAGTAATAGTGTAAATGACTCCTTGATTACTCCTGATATTGATCTTCTTGCTTTTTATAACAATAATAGGATGCGTCCTGCTTCGTCCATGTTTGCATTTAGTGAGGTCTCTACTGAGTGTATCCAGCAGATTTTATTGAACCTAAGGTCTACAGGAGTTGGATCTGATGGAATCAGCCTTGATATGATTCGACTGTATTGTCCCCGTATTCTTGACGTGCTTGTCCATCTTTTCAATTTTTGTTTGATTCATCAGTGTTTCCGAATTCCTGGAAGTATGGCTTTGTTGTTCCCATTCCCAAAGTTGTTCCTATCACTAGTTGTAAGGATCTGAGGCCCATTACAATTCCGCCGGTTCTTTCAAAGATCTTAGAAAGACTTATGATAGAGCAGTTAAATATTTATCTGGAAACACATTGAATTTTGCCTCTTAAGCAGTCGGGTTTCAGGAGACAGTTCAGTTGTGCTACTGTAATACTGGATTTGACTGATGATGTACTCAGGTCTTTGGACCAGGGTAAATCCACAGCATTAATTTTACTTGATTTCACTAAGGCCTTTGACATCCTTGATCATAGTCTCCTGTTATGCATTTTGAAGTTTATTGGATTGGATGTTCATGCGGTTAAACTATTCGATAGCTATCTATCAAATAGATAGTTATCCTGATATATATTATAAATCCTGATAAGACCAGATAAGAAATCCTGTGGATAGGTCTCGAGTTCATATTGACATTTTGGGTAAACCAATTCGTTTTTCGGATGAGGTTAAAAGTTTGTGAGTCATTATAGATAGTCAATTGAGTTTTGATAGGCATATAGGGATTCTGCGTGCGCGTGCTTTTGGTGCCTTAAAGCGTTTGTATTCATGTCGTAAATTTTTGTCTGTTGAGCTTAAGCGTTTATTATGTGATAGCCTAGTTTTGTCCAACTTCAATTATTGTAGTGTTGTTCTTTTAGTTAGCTCTTGTTTGTCTTTTGAATCAATGCGCAAGGTACATGTTGTGCAAAACTCTTGCTTGCGCTTTGTTTATGGCGTTAAACGAAGAGATCATATTTCCCCCGTTCTAATATCTAGTGGTTGGCTGAGTATGAAACAGAGATTCCGTGTGCATTATTTGTGTCTAATTTATGGGATTCTTCACGCAGGGAAACCTCCATACCTTATTCATAAAATAAGATTTCAGACATTCATCAGTATCATTCACAATTCCACATAACCGGTCTGCTAAGTTCTGTCGTTCCTTCTCTTACCAGATTGCGCAACTATGGAACTCCTTGTCTGTCGAGGCTAGATGTGCTTGCTCAGCCACGCAGTTTAGGCGATTGATTATTCGAAAGACTCTGAATACTAACTTTTGATTTTTGAATGAGAGTTGAGGATGAGAATTGTAAATTTTGATTTTACTTTGTTTTTGATTTTTTTTTAAATGCTACTCAGTATGCGATTTTGCTTTTTTTTCTGTTTTTGTTTGTCTTGGTACAAGTTAAAATCAGTGGTAGTGTTGCTACCTTTTCTGTTCTTGTACCATTTGAGCCATTGTAATTTGAATACTTTTTATTAATTTTAGTTATAAGGATTATTTTATTTTGCCTTGTTAATTATATTTATTTCTTTTTTTTTTATTTCTGGTCAAATAATTTTGTATCTTGTTTTATCAAAATATTGTTGTAAGCGAAATAAAACGTGCATCAAATGCGTATAAGCCAATTAGTAGTAATTACATAAGAATTGGTAGGAACTCGTAGGAAGATAATTGACCAAGTCCCAAAGTCTTCAGCAATCTTATAGGCCATTGAAATCCCAAATCAGAAATCAGAAGCAAGGAATATTTCGGAAAATAATGGCATTAACTCCGAGTATGTGAAGAGAACGTAGGAATATCTGACTTAAAATCGTACAGTATTAGTTTATTGTTGGTACACAAAATTTAGACTACAGTGTACATAACATAGAATAGTACATAATCTAGGATATCTAAAGTCCTCCAGGTGACCCTAGATACCATTTGCGCTTGGTGTAAGGGAGAGAACCTCTCAATAAACCCGCAAAAGACAATTGTTGTGCCCTTCACCAGGAAGCGAAAGTTGGATGGACTAATCCGCCCAACTATCCAAGGTGAAGAAATTCCTTTCTCAAAGGAAGTCAAATATCTAGGAGTAATCCTAGACAAAACCCTGTCATGGAATGGACATTTGCAGGGAGTTTTGCACAAAGCTAGACTATCCTTGTGGACTTGTCGCAGTCTTTGTGGAAAAAATTGGGGTCTTACCCCTGAAAGACTGTACTGGCTCTATGTGACTGTGGTTAGACCTATGATCACATACGGAGCAGCAGCCTGGTATAGGAAAGTCCGACAGACTTCAGTTATCAGTAAACTTTCACGAATTCAACGAGTAGCTGGATTGGCAATCTCTGGTGCGATAGGCACAACGCCAACTCTAGCAATGGAGGTTCTGCTTGGCCTATCTCCTCTGCATTTGCATATAGAGAAAGTGGCTAGAACAACCATTTACAGATTTAAGCAATATGCTCAAAACTGTTCCGACATGTCCTACCAATGGGCTGCGGAAGACATTATAAGCACTGATACTGTGCTATCAATGCCGTCAGATTTGGCGGTATCACTATCAGTGATTAATGCTCGATACCAGATTGTACTGCCTGAGCGGCAGTCCTGGATCGAAAATGAAAATTCTCTGGTTCGGGCAGACATTTGCTTGTACACAGATGGATCAAAAACGCCTGAAGGGGTAGGAGCAGGAGTATACTGCCAGACACCTCGAATTAAGCAAGCCTACAGCCTGGGTACGTACTGTACTGTATTCCAGGCGGAAGTATTTGCTATTGACATGGGTGCTAAAATCCTTCTTGAAAGAGGGGTGAAGAACATGACAGTACGAATTTTCTCAGACAGTCAAGCCGCTCTCCAGGCGCTGCAAGCCGTGAAAACGGTGTCGGCTCTGGTTAATGATTGTAAGAGAACATTAAACACACTGAGTTGTGATAACAGAGTCTCTCTGATCTGGGTCCCGGGTCACTCTGGGGTTGCTGGCAATGAAGCGGCAGATAAGCTAGCACGAGATGGCAGCGCTGAAGCGTTTGTGGGACCGGAACCAGCAGTTGGTGTATCATTTGCGATGGCCAAATATAGGATTGGACTGTGGGCTGAAGAGAGACTTCGCCTACTGTGGACCAGTTCTCCTGGAATGAGACATGCTAAGGTGTTTATTAACATCGCCACTGTCAAACCCGGGAATATTTTAGGACTTGCCCGTAGTAGCATAAAAGTTCTAATGGGTGTTTTTACTGGGCACTGCCGATTAAAAGCACACCTCAACTTGTTGGGTTTAGCCGACGATGTTGAATGCCGACTATGTGCGGAGGAAGCAGAGACGGTTGAGCATGTTTTATGCCACTGCCCTGCCGTTAACCGTATCAGATTCTCGATTTTTGGGTCGCAGTTTATCTCCTCAAAAGATCTGAATGACCTTTCGCCGAGCAAGGTATTAATGTTCGTTAAGAGCATTGGACTGCACGGTGAAATTTGATAACGATATCTATCGGGGTACAACAGATCCTTAGGGTCGCGGTGCAAGGTTGGTTGGTCCGCCTACCCGATATGTATTCTATGTAATGTAATGTAATGTAACATAACATAGAGCTTTACTTCCTGATTCCAGACACTGCAGCTACATCTTTTTATATAAATATTTCGTTTATAACACAAATATTAATTTATCCTTTGCTATTCTTCCATTTTTTCCTTTTCAAGTTTATCCTTCCAACAATAATACCTTAAAGTAACCTTTCTTATATTTCCAGCAAGAACTTAGATCTGTATGACTTGCAATTTCGATGCCCCACATTCAACCTTTTTATATTACTACAAGTTTGCATCTACCAGGTGTAGTCGAAACAAATCATCTCCGATCGCATCATATCTAGTAACCAAGTAGTACGATTTTACACTGCTAAGCTAACGAGTATCAGATGTTAGACATGAACAAACTGTACTTTCATAAATAGCTACTTAAAACTCATGCCTAACTTATTCTTTTCCTTATACTGTATACTTTGAAAACATCTTACTTCTCCTCTGATTGTCCAACAACTCAGGTACTGTAACTTCACCGCAAAGTATCCCAACCTTGCTTCTCAGGAAGTCTAAGTGTAACATAAACGATATTTTGTCTTTCATTCATAAAGCCCAGTTTTTTCAGTTTCCGTTTAGCTAATGGAAGTAATGGTAAATATGCTGAATTGTATAGAATAAGAGAAGGTGGCGAGTCTTTCCCGTGCCACCAGCTTTAATCAGCAGACTATGTTATTAATTAATATAACTATGATTGTTGCGATTAATGCCATTGGTAATAATGTGACACCCATGTTGATATTTCCCAGAGTACATTTCAAGTCCCACATGCTTGTTGGTGCTCCAAAAGAATCTATTGGCGGCGTAAATCCATCTGTATGGTCTAAAGAAAGGCTTTTTACTATTAAGTCTTGATAATCACGAATCGCACATTTTGTTTCCAGCGATTAGATTAGCAAAGAAAAATGGTGTTGTAATGCTAACTCTTCCGCCTCATACTTCACACAAGCTTCCATCGTGCAGTGTTTGGCCCTTACAAATCCTCTTCTAACGCTGCCTTAAACAGCCGGCTTTTAATACATGCCGGAAAACCAATTAGCATAGCGTTAAACAGCTGGCTATTAGAACATGCTGGAAAACCAAATAACATATATGATTTTTGCTGGAGTAAAAGAAAAGCATTTAGTACATCATTTACTAAGGAGAATATTGAAAAAGTATTTCAGGTGACGAGCATTCATCCCTTCAATATCCAAGTTTGTCGAGACGATGAATTTCTATCCTCATTTGTCACTGATCGAGAGATTAGAGATAACACTTCAGGAGGTGATATCAAAGTTTGACAAACCAAAAAATATCAAGCAGTCAAGATAAAAAAGAGTTAAGCGTGCAGTCTAACAGTAACTTTTTTGCAATTTATGCTGGAACGAGATAAAGAGTTTGATGTCGTCATGAAATGTTGTACCGTGCTTCATACGTCTTCATGAAGTTCTTAAAGTTCGGATAATTTGTCCATAAATAATCATTAATGTTGATAAGCTGTAATTTAGAATAAACAGAATTTTGTTAAAGTTATTTTCTTTAGCTTTAATGTCCTTTTTTAACATTTTTTCATTATCATATCTTCATGAAAAACATATTTGGCAACATAGTAGAACAACAGATTTTCGATTTAGAGTCGAAGAGATGTTATTACCTACGTGTACATTATCCGCCAATTTTTAAACACCCTGTATATACAGATGGAGGAAATTTTTTTAATATAGTTGATAATAATTTGACGATTCCATGATAAAATGTTGATGGTAAAAAAAATAATAAAACACTGAAATTGAAGCTCCACGAACTTAGATGATCTAAAGAATATCTTAATATATATATATAATATATATTATATATCTTAATAATTCTTATATTAAACAAAATTAATATTAATTAAAACAAATTCATCATCTAATTGTTTTATCATTTCAACGTGTAAAAAAATAGAAAATAAATGTCTATCATCCTAACCAGACAATTATTTATAATTGTAATTGCAACATAAATTACACACTTACATTCAATTAATCACACAAAAATAGAAATAATTCACCTTACAAAATAGTTTTGACTTAGTTGTTTCACAACCAAATCAAAAACCTTTTGAAATTCTTCAAAAAAAGTTGTAACAAAATAATAAAAAATCTTTTCGTATTAAAAACATGTTTCTTTTTATAAAATTATCAATATACACGATTATTTTTGTGAGTCACGCGGCTCAATTGGCAGCCGCTGGTTATTTGATAAATAAAGCTGCGGATGTAGCAAAAGAATTATTCGAAGAAAATCGTAACAATAGTCTTAAATATTTAACAATTTGGAATGTGGTAAGAACTTTTAATAAGTAAAAATGTAATTTGTTTTAATTGTTGTTTTAATTTAGATTCTTCAATGCATTTATTGTTTCGCTTCCATAGTAAATTGCATCCTTTCTTTAAACCATCAAGATAAATTTTATAAAAAGTTATCACAGCGTTTATCGAAAATGTTAAAATTAGTTAACATCTCATTGATTTCACCAATTGGTTTGTTAGTGGTTTCAATATTTTGGATGGTTTACACAATAGATAGAGAATTAGTTTATCCAAAAAAAATCGACCAAGTCTTTCCAACGATTATGAACCACGCTGCACACAGTTTTGTGATCTTTTTACCGATATTCGAAATTTTTGCACAAAGAAATGTTTCTATGCCCAGCTTTAAGTTGACTGTTTGGGGATTAAGCGGATTTTTATTTATGTTTGTGTGCACGTAAGTATTTCAATTAATTTACAGAAAACTACATCCTTTGAGATTTATATTTGATTTTCTTTTAGATTATTTGGTACCTATTACTTTAGCTCGGTGTGGTTGTATGGTTTTGTGAATGTTATACCTTGGCCAGCAAAAATATGGTTTATTGTTATTTCTTATGTCGGTTCTCTTTCAGCTTTAGGCTTAGCAACGGTAATACATTCTAAATTGCTATTAACAGACATCAAAATTAAAAAGAATTGAATAATTTTTGTTAAGATATTTACGAAATAAATTATTTTATAATTGAGTTTGTAATTTCATTGTGTTTTTTTAAAAGTCCAATTTCACGTTAAACTCAACTCACAATCTTTACTTTTTTCTTACAGAACTTATCCTCTAATATAGTTTTCTATAGAGTCTGCATTTGTTTAAGACATAACAAAAGGTTCGCGAAACGTAGAACATTAACCTTAGTCCTATGGTGAAGAGACAAGGATCTGAATAATAAATGAAGTAGAAAAGCTAGACAAAGATCTGGTAATAAAGAAACAACTAAAAATGGTAACAGGGAATCTCCAGGAGGTATAAAAGATGCAACGTCAAGCTGTACAAAGGGACGGGAATTTGACCAGGAAGTCAAAAACAAAGAAATTTTTTACAAAAAGTAAGCAAAGATCTTGAATAAGTGCTGGAACCGAGAACATCATTGTAGGTTCTTGTTTTGACATCTGCATCACTAGATGTGATGTCTTGAGCTGGATCATCGACATCTATAATATGTCAACATCATTCGATATGATTCATCCGCCTCGAAAAACATGGCACGCTACAGGAGTACTGTAAAATGTTGAAATACACCGGATACGATCAGAGATGCAGGGCAATGCTGGAAAGCAACTTTGGATATATATAACTTAACTTATATCGACTTATTTTGAGCCAAGGAATATGTGGTCTTCCCTTGTACATGCATTTCGGAGAAAACCTTTATATAATATCGTTTATTGTTACTTTCGTATACAATTTACAAACCAAACAATACAATTTGGGTACAATAACTGAAACAAAACATAAAATACAACTTAACACTAATACCCCCTCCTTCTCCTCTCATTCAGCACCTTCATCATCCACTCTCTCCCCTCTCCCGCTCCATCCAGCACGCGTTCCCACTCCATACCTCCCTCCCTTAAGTCGGTATATCTCAGCATATTCTCAATTGTCTTCCAATCATCCCCATACAATCTACACATCCTCATTATTATTATTATTATTATTCCCGCACCTAAATCGCACAATCATACTTTTCTCCTTCCCTTTATCCTCCTCCATCAAATACCCCGGAATTTCTTCCGTTATTATGACCTTGTACCTCCACCTATTTAGTATTGTATCTCCCCTTTTCCATTTGAGCACGCCATTCCAGCTTTTTCATATCTTTATTTCTACTCTCCATCTCCTACCACAGTATTGACCCTTTCTCCTACTTCTTTGTAATTCCTCTGTTAAGTACCCTACTCTGGTATAGTATTCCCTTCTTTCTTGTTGTCCACACTCCCCCACCCCAGTCGTAACCTCCTTCAAATACTCTCCCAAAATCTTAAATTCTCTCCTCTGGTATAGCCCATTCTCGTACTTTATCTTCTCCAGCTCAACTCTCCTCTCACTATATATCGCAGAGTCTCCCTGTTCAGCCCCAGGACCCACTTCCAATGTCTTTCCTGGATTTCCTCCACCATTTTGTATTCCTTCCACCTCGATATTTCAGCTCCATACATTATCACTCCTCACCTGTCTAACAATAATTATTTTCTGTCTGCACAAATCTTTCTCAAATATTCGTTCACCCCGACTCCATATCTGTCCCAATAAGCTGTATGCCTGTCTAACTCTCTGCTTAATATGATCCTCCACTTTACTATCCGCTCGAAAAGTAAAACCCAGATACGTAAATTCTCTTACATCTCCCCCCTTTCATTCCCACTTCTCCCTTTTCCGTCTGCCGCCCTTGGAGAATTTTCTAATCTTCGTCTTTTCAACATTCACCTCCAAACCCTTTTCTATCACCTCTGTTAGATATTCACTAGTTCCCTTTTTTAGCTCCTTCCACAATTTCCCTCTATTCAGCGTAACAAAAGATGCTCTTAAATCTAGGAATACTGCATACAACATTCCCCCTTTTTATTTGGATCTCTTTTCACCAGTAGTCTCAAAATGAATATGTTGTCGATAGAAAAGGTGTGTTTGATATTCTTTCTTTATATCGTCTGTATATTCTCCGATGGATGAGTTTAAGAAGTACCTTTAGTATGTCAATCATGAGACTGATAGTTTTGTAGTTTTTGGCAGCAGGATGAACTCAGAGATGATCCATTTATTTGGAATGTTTAAAGTATTGTAGATGTTATTAAATATGTCACTCAAGAACTTCAATGAAAACCACTCTACGATAGACCAGATACACAGGATTACAAATATTATTGAAAAGTCTTTAGAGGGAAAGGAAGTCTGCTCTGTAATATTCCCAGATGTAGCTCAGGCTTTTGATAAAGTCTGGCACGAAGGCTTTGTTACTTAATTTTGCTGGATTGCGCTGATTTCAAAAACACTTCTTTTTTGTATATTAAATTATTCTTTATTTTATTTGTTTTACACTTTTTGTTTGTACTTATAAGGAATTTGATTAAAAGATTGAACGAAGTTTATAAAATTGCGAAAGTATGAGATCTTTTTACTGATATAACAGTACGACATGAAAAATATCAAAAGACGGGCGATATTTGGAGCCCTGTGTGCTCTTTTATATCCTTTTGGATCACAAAAAGTGGTTCTCGATTTATCCGAAATTGAAAACAAAATTGAATATCTTATACAATCCAAACTACCTTAATTTTAAACCTCAATATTGTTAATTTAATAATAATAAATTGAAATAAATCTAAACAGGCTTACTTAATAAATTGAATAAAATCTTACTACAACAACACTCCCAATTGATAAAATCATATCTTACAGGTAGGTATTTTAGAACAAAGCAGGAGGAGGCCTATTCTAACTTAAGAAAGATCCAAGCTGGAGTGCCACAAGGTAGTGTGCTCGGCTCAGTACTCTACTTGTTATGCACTAGTGGTATTCCTGATCTTGCACAGAACACCATTGAACGTTTGCAGATGACCAGCTATCATGGAAATAGGAAAAAATCATGAAGAGGCTGCTGAAAAATTACATTCCTCTATGGACAAAATAAATACTTGGACCAAATCTTGGCGTATCAAGTTGAATGAAAGCGAAAGTCTGGAAGCCATCAATTATTCGATGCCTAGATACCACATGCTAACTCGGCGAAATACCTGGGCATGACCATAGAGGCTTTAATAGTTGCTCCTTCATAAGCAACTATTAAAGCGGGTATGGTTATACAGGGTGTCAGATAAAAAACGCCCGATGCTGTAACTCTGTCATTTACATTCCGTTTTTCATGAGCGAGGTATCAAATGAAATGGTTTGATGAATACTATGAATACTATGATTGGGCTCAGAAAAAAAATCTCTATCCAATATCATGTAGAAAAACATGAAGTAGGGAGCATATGTTTAATTCTGGATACTATCACTTATAGCGTTGCTTTCGATTACAGAACCCATTTAGGCCATTTTTTGAGTTGTCGGTTTGACTGGTTTCACCAGGTTTGACTGGTTTCACCAGGTTTGACTGGTTTCACCAGGTTTGACATAGGTAGTAATATTTTTGATTGCGTTGTATTGTGTACAGAGGAAGAGTTGCTAGCGATTTGAAGAATGAGCGATTTGTGGTTGTTGCTTTATAATAAGTACTTCGATTGATGTTATAATCAATCATGCGGAAGCAGCATTAGATAAATGCAATAAAATTAAAAGGAAACGATGTGATATAAATAATATTAAAAAAATTAAAGAATAAAGTCTTTGTTATTCATTTAAAGACTTTTTAATAAACCCTGTACCAAATAATAATTTAATACCTACTAGTCATGTTTTTTTGATGTTTTTTTTTGTAAAACATTGTAAACGACAAAATTTAATGGGCTGAAATTTTGTACAGTTTGTGAAGTTTTGTCGGCAAGCAATGTTTTCGTAAAAAAACATCGATAAAACTTTCAAATAACAAATTTAATTTATATTTCTCGTCTGCCAATGATTTCAGCGCTGTAGACGACAGTATCCAAAACTAATTGCGGCGGTCCCTGTACCTAGTTTTCATTCGAATGCCGAGGACCTTTGGTTGAGTGTATGCTTTTGTGGCTCGCGAGTGTTGTTATGCTGCGTATATTTACCTCCAAGTGATTCTGTGTCATTTAGCCTTTTCCTCCGTCAACTTCAGTACGTGCGCGACCGGTCTCCAGACACACCTATACTATTGGTGGGTGATTTCAATGTTCCCAACATTTCTTGGGCCGCATCAGTCGCGGGGAACCTTGTGCCTGTTGTCGTCGCTAACCCTCGTGCGACTGAGTTACTTCTTACTATTTCTTATTGTAATTTGTCTCAATTTAATAATATTGCTAACAATAATTCCAGATACCTAGATTTAATTTTGTGCAATTCGGGAGGAGTCGATTCGGTGCGCTCCTGTAACGATCCGCTAGTTGACTTGGATGGGCATCACCCTGCTTTAGAATTTTTGTTTAAGTTTGATAAACGTCATGTCTTGCGTGAGAGCCCATCGGTCACCTGGAGGTTTGATCGTGCGGATTTTGACGGTCTCAGGGGTGGGCTGGCAAGTGTTGATTGGCGCAGTTTATTTGGTGGGTTAGATGTAGATCTCTGTGNATGCTTTTGATAAATTTTTCTTTTTTTTTTTGTTCTTTCTTATGTAGTCTGTTTTCTTTTCTTTTCTTTTATATTATTGTAGTGGACACTTTTTTGGGATTTTTTCCTGTACGTGTCCCGAATATGAATAAATAAATAAATAAATAATTGCGAATTCCAACCAAACGTTTATAGTTGCCTATCTACATATATAACAATATATTATATCTAATCTATGAGTTGGATTCCGTATGTCCATTTTGGTTTTAATACTTGCTTGTATAATAGCAACTTGTTTCTTAGTGATAGCGTTGATTTTCTGCCAATAAACCAATATAGGTGTCTAAATTTGATATCAAGTTCCTCACGTTTTTTTTTGACATGAACTAAGATATTTTGCGGTGTCGGCGTAGGGGACTGCATTGACATTTATGTGTACTGGGACATAGTTTGATTTCTTATAAGTAAAGTAATTGTAACCAATTGTAACTTATTTGCTGCAACTACTTCATTTTCT